TGCCACTGAGTGGGACCTGACAATACCCAACATCATCACCCTCTATCAGTCCCTGAAATGCTCTATTATATCTTCTTGTTTATGTATTTTTTTTTTCCTCACAACTGTAAAATCCATTGAAAAACAAAGACTTTGTCTTTTTCCATGGCCTTTTTGGAGCAAGTCAGTGCCGGGCTCATAATAGAAACTCAATAAATGTGTGTGACATGAATGATTAAAGTAGAAAGCCATTTTTGAAGCTGATTTTGGCTCTTAGTCTTCAAGAAGTTTAAGGATAACAAAGGTAACTCATTATACTGCCTGGATTTCATTTATGTGGGCATAAAGGGAAAAATAAAAGTCCATTTTCTCTGGCAAACGTTATCCCAACAGTTTTTCTATGAAATTCTCTATACTACTAACACTCTTGGCTATAGTTGCAACGTGTGCCTGTTCTTTTCTCAGTGACCTTATGGAAAATTTTTCTCTGACACTATAATATAGATTTTATAAATGAGGAGGCTTTATTTTAAGAATTGCATTATGTTGTTTCCAAGGCAACTTTCCTAGAAGTAGACCCATTAGCATTCTATATTAAGTGATCCCCAGTGTAACTCCAAGCTCATGTTTTATTGGATAAATCTTTGGATACAAATGCAATTTTCTATAACCTTAAAACCTCTACTTTCTGAATTTTTTTCTTCCCAAAGCAAAACATCACTTATTACTTGAGGTAATTATAACTTTTCATATTTGGGTAACAACGAAGCAGTAACAGTATATATTTTTGCAGCCAGTCTCATCAGCACACTTTTCTCATTGCTACGTGTACAAATTACATACCTGCTGCTTCTCCAATGTAAAGGGTTATCATGTCACATTCAACTGATCACAATTTCTGATTTTTACCATTAACAGCAATAATAGGAGAAAGAAAAATTTTTACTATTTGTTAATATCTATGTTGAATAATTCTGTATGTACTTTTTAAATTTTACCCTCAAAATAATTCTATAAAAAGATCCAGTACAGGGTGAGGGGTAGGGAAAGGTGGGAGATGGTAGAGGGGAGATGGGAGGGGGATGGGAGGTCACGGAGTATGGCATAACTCTTGGGGACAGGACACAATTATAAGAGGGACTTTGCCTAACACATGTAATCAGTATAACCTAATTCTTTCTACCCTCAGTGAATTCCAAACAATAAAAAAAAGAAAATTCAAAAAAAGTTCTATGAAGACATAGGATCATTTTATAGATAAATAAATTAAAGCTCAGAGAAAGATAACTTGGTCAGGATCTCCGCTGAATAATTATCAAAGCTGAAACTTGAACCAAAGTCTACTTTATTCCAAATAACTTTTAAGTAACAAGTAAAACTTTCTTTATACTATGATTTTGCAAGTGAGTCAAATTCTTCTTGCTTTCCTTAAATTCCAGCAGTTCTCTGCAATTTTTTGACATTCTGGGTCATATTTCCAACAGAGTAAGAAAACTCTATGATAAACCTACCTTTTGTATTCTCACCAAAAGAATTCCTGTTTCTACAATGGCTATCAATTTAATAAGATGATTATTAAGGCACAATACATACACGATATACTTATGTGACCTTATCTCCCTTGCTACCCTGAGGAACACTAAGAATTTTATGAATTCCTTCTTGTAAAATTTAAACAATGCCTATACATACGGAAACTGTAATTTGAAAGATAGTGTTCATTATTGGATCAAAGTATCAAAAAATGTACAGTGGTCTTCCAACCATGCAACATTTTTTTAATGTTGAAATGTAATAAGTTTTCATTGTTCATATGATCAAAGCCTTGTCTCAAATAGTTTGCTCTGCTACCTTAGCGAAATAATGTACTCCATTGCAAATCCTGTATTATCTTACCCATGGCAATGATCTTGAGCAGGGAGTTTAAGGTCAAATCAAATCAGAACATGTTTATGTTATATCTCATTCTTTGAGATATATAATGCATTTGTGTCTTATAAAGAAGCAAATCTTAAATTTCACATGTGCATTAGAATGGCTGGTATGCTGAGTGAAAAGGCAAAGCCCAGATTGTAAGGACAGAATGCCCTACAGTACTTTTTTAAAGTCTCCTCAAGTAATTATGTGAACACATCATTTAACATAAAAACTTAAAGATATTGTATATTAAAGTCCCCGGGGAGAATGACAGTAAATCTACAGTGTGATGTAGGAATAGTTTTTCCCCAAATTTTTATAACATGTGAACTCCACTCTTTCCCAATGGCTGTTGGGAAGTCCTAAATGACGCAGCTTGCTTTCTTGGTATACCATTTTTTTTGAGTCATGTAGTTATCTTAGTTAATTTTCTAAAGTCTGAATGCAAGTAGAATTGAAACAGAAGCCAGTTAGTTCATTATAGCATAAGCAGAATGATTATAATTTTTCCAGGGAAATGTAAGTTTCCAGTTCTAACTCAAACTCATATAAGAAAAATACTCTCCTCTCTTAGGTAGTATAGAAAATTCCTCTATACATCTGCTTAAAAGTATGTGGAATAAAGTGGTTGAGGTTTCAACTATTCATGTATTTCCTGATCCTTATAGTCTCAGTTTTCCTTTATACTGTAGACTTATTTAGAGGAAACAATTGTGTGTTAAAATTTTGTGGGCCCACATCATATATACCTAAATCTCTTCATACAAAGAAACAGCCATGTCTTAAAATTCCAAAGTATTTAACTATTTTCATGACCTATGCGTATTTTTATTCATTCATTATTTACTTAGAGAATTTTTTTTATTAAATCATAAAGAGGTAGATCATGTATACATTAATGCATTTAAGGGGTATGATGTGCTGATTTCAGATATAATTTGGAATGCTTACATTGAACTGGTTAATATATACCTCACCTCATTTACTTAATTATTGTGTTAAGACATTTATACTCTATACTTAATAGACATGTACCCTTGCAATATGCACCATAGGTGTGATTCCACCATTCACCTGCCTTCCATCTGACCTCTCCCCTCCCTTTCCATCCACCCTCTTTCATCCTGGGCCATAGTTGTGATCTATTCTTCATATGAAGGTGTGAGTGATTATAAATTGGTTTCATAATAGTACTGAATACATTGGATAATTTTTCCTCCATTCTTGAGATTCTTTACTAAGTAGGATATGTTGCAGCTCCATCCATATAAATGAAAGAGGTGAAGTCTCCATCTTTTTCAAGGCTGCATAATATTCCATGGTGTATAGACCACAATTTATTAATCCATTCATGGGTTGATGAGCACTTAGGCTTCTTCTCTGATTTGGCTGTTATGAATTGAGCTGCCATGAACAATCTGGTGCAAATATCTTTTTTATAAAGTGATTTTTGGTCTTTTGGGTATACACCTAGTAGAGGAATTCCAGGATCCAATGGCAGGTCTACCTTTAGGTCCCTGAGTATTCTCCATATACTTCTTTCCAAAAAGGACATATTAACTTGCATTCCCATCAGCAGTGCAGAAGTGTTCCCTTTTCTCCACATCCATGCCAAGATCTATAGTTTTGGAATTTTGTCATGTGAGCTACTTTTACTGGAGTTATGATGATATCTCAAAGTGGTTTTGATTTGCATTTTAGACTGCTCTCTTAGTGCAGCCAGCCGTGCATCAGTATCATACTTAGAGATTATATATAAATAACTTACTATCTAGTAGGCGTCTAGCTTTGAGCTGGGTGTGATAAATGCAGCCCCTTTCTTGAAGGAACTCATCATTTGTAGAGGAGCAAGACACGCTTATGCATACAAAAGAGATGTTAAATGCTAAAGGTGTTATAAACATAGTACCTTAGAATAGGGCAGTGTGACTGAGATGTCTAGTGGTGGAAGGCATAGGATATGGAGGAAATGCATATCCGGTTTTCAGGGTCTCACAGTGAAGAAAGACTTTCATGAAGGTGGGTAGAGTATCTGTAGGCAAGCAAGGATAAAGAAAGAAACAGTGTCTGTTTCATCAAGAGCTGTATGTTGTGAAAGTAGGGTATATGTAAAAATAATATCCTTTACATCTGAATTGGAATACTTATACTCTATACATCCTCTTTAGTTATTTCCTACACAGAATCTTAAACGTTTGAGGGCAGCTTACATCTCCAACTGCCGGTTGACTTCAGGAAGAGTCATTTGACTTGTTGAACTTCAGAATGAGCCTGTTATCTATCCACGTGCCATTACTGAAGTCTCAGGCTCTGTTTTACACATGGAAATGATCACAAGAAATCACATGTGCACACACACACACAAATGCAAACTCTTACACTATATATATTGCCATTAATTAAAAAGGGTGTTTAAATAAATAAGAAACACAGGGAGAGAATAGGAAAAAGAGGCAGTAAGGAAAGAAGAAGGGAGGAATGGATTGGAGGAGAAGGGACATGCAACATATTAGACTTGGTCGAGTGGAAATGAAGTCCAGCTGGAAGGCTTTTTGTTTTTACTGCCAGGGAGACTTGATCGTCTTCAAATCTGGTAAGACTAGTAAGATGAAATTTTCTGTTAGTAAATTTAAGATCTTTATTCCAGAAATATTATCTTTTTTTTAAGATTTTGAGGTTTTTTTTTTTTTTTTTGCTGGACAGAATGTTATTTAAATTGCTTTCTGGCTTACAATATTGATGGACCTGCAGGTGCTCAGATCATTGACATATTCGAATCTTAGAGTCTAGAGGCAGCAAAATATGGTAGTTTTATAGTCCTTTATTCCATTTTTAACATTTGACACCGAAAGAAATTTCTATTGGAATTGCACCTCTTTGTAGTAGCTGATTGGCATAAATGCCGCTGAGATCCCCAAACCAACCATGAATGTTTGATTTCTCCTTGGGATTCCACTTTTATTGTGATGATTTTGACCCTAGCTAGCCCTGTCAGCATGTATCCAAGAGATGGAATCTTCTCAATGGGGAGAATTCAAAGGAGTTTTAAAATTTCCTTTCTTTGTTTAATCTCATTGACTTGTTTCCAACTGCTGCTTTTTTAGGAGGGCAGAAGCTGTTCTGTGAAGCACAAAGAGAGTCCTCCAAGTAATGCCACTGCAGAATCAGACGTTCTCCCACAGGTATTTTGTTTATTTTATTTTTGTTATGGCAGAAAACTCTCCTTGTATCCATTGTGGCAATGCTTTTCTCCCTTGCTCCAACTGCAGCAGGATGCTGTATTGGCTCATACAATCCATTCCTCCACCTGGTACCCTTGAACTTCTCCATGGCTGCTCTGCCTTCTACTAAGCTTTTGGTTTGCTCTGTGAGTCCCTGAGAAGGTCAAGAGTGAGGGGAGCCCTCCATCTCCTCCTCACTGCATCCCTCTCCCCAGAACCAGGAAACAAAACAAAAATAAACAAAGATCAAAAAACAGGCATGTATTTCTTCTGTGTCCAGGGACATTAAAGATTTGGGGAGCATAAGGGAGTGGGAAAAAGTACATTGTCACCCACAGAAAGTAAAAAACAAGGGCAAGTGAAGAGATTGATTCTGAATTTTTGTTTGTCCTAGTTTTATTTGACCAAATCTATTATATTATACTGATTTTTAAAGCTTTTAAATTTTTTTTTCAGCTAATACAATACTTAAATTTGTTGATCAGATCAATCAGAGTTGAATGGTTTGCCAAATTTTCTCGAAATAATATTTGGAATATCTTTCTACTTGTGTGTAAAACATTTTTGTTCTTTCATGTGGTAGAAGTATTAACATCTTTACATTAGCTCCATTTTTATCTGACGTTAGTTGTATGTAACATAATTTTGAGAGACATGAATTTTTATTACTATTCTGTTAGAATGTTTTATTTTTGATCTTAAATATATACTTATTTTGGCTCTCCTAATTGTCTTTTCTGTATTATTTGACAGAAATTGCAAATGCCTCCTTGTTCTGAATGTGAGATGAAAAAAGTCCCAGAAAAACAACTGAACAACTTTGAAGGAATGGCAAATAGAGAAGAAAAAATTCTGTAAATATTAAGAAACTGTGTTAAAAAAACATCAAGTTGCTATTGTCTTCATACTCTTTTTAGACCACAGGCTTGATGGAAATACTACATTTCTAAAGCATGTAACTTTTTCACAATTTTATGTAACTTTATAAATTAGTCTACAAATTTTCCAGAAGATTCCAGGCTAATTATGATCCTTCAGCAATAACCTAATTGAAATGAATTTCCACAGTCATAAATATTTCCTTGTTGTTAGTGAGTTGCCCCATATAAATTGGTTTGTTTTGAGATCAAATGCAATATGCCACTTAATTCTCTTGGGTTCTTTGGAATATCTGTTACTACTGTGATGGAGTTGTTGAAAGCAACTGTGGAATGCTAAAGTATTCTGGGCTTTTTTGCATTCTTAGAACACAAATTACAACCATATCATCAAGATCTTGGTCCACATTAGCCAAATGGAGTCTTTCTCCTCAATGTTGGAGTTTGTGCCAACATAAATGAAACTTTTATTTGGCAGTGTTTATTACTATTGATATTATTTTGAACTAATAATAATTATTTTGTCTAAATAATAGCAAGATGATTCTGGCAAGGATTTGTTCAATATATTTGTCGTGATGCAGACAAAATATTTGAATTAATGACTAAATTTCTGGTACAATGGATTACATTTGGGGGAATTTTATAGATTCAGTACCTATGTATGTCTACTGGAATTACTCCAAATTAGGAATGAAGTCGTTTCAAATGTTTGGCATGATTTTTATGAAGTCGAATAGTGTAATGTGAGGTGGGAGAAGTGTTCTACAATATACAAATATGCAAGCAGACAATATATATTTCAAAGGGGATATTTGGTGAAAGTAAAATAGCCATGTTGATACAATGACCTAGATTCATATTTTTTGATAATCAGTGGGCTTGTTAAACTTTGAAGTTGGGGGTTTTGTGTAGGAATATTACTATCAAAATTAATACACTTGTGAATAATCTGAATATAGCTCATAAGCAAGGTAAATTGATATGTCAATAATTGATAGCATTGATAGAGCATCAAATTAACAGACTCAAATTAGTAAGTTAACTGATGCAGTTAGGGTGTTTGCACTGAATATGTTCATTACCGCTGTTAGACCCGTTTGCCAATGTGGAAAGCACATAAAACCTTTGGTTATACGGAATGGATATGAGCGCAGTATAGCCAAAAAAGAGTTGACAAAAAATATATTCAATGAAATCTGTAATCAGTAGATAAATTCCATGATGTAGTGGTACACCTTTATTCACAATGACATACTCAAAGAAATTTAATGATTTGGAAAATTGGAAACTATCATTAGCTTTAAAATTACTTTCAGAATAGTTCTGAGTCATTTGCTAATGCAGACGGTCCCCAGTTTAACAATGGTATGAGTTATGATTTTTCTATATTAGAGTGGTGTAAGATCATCACAATGTCTATGTACTTCACATTTTGAATTTTGATCTTTCGTCTGGCTACTGATGTGCAGTACATAAGATATTAAACACTTTATTATAAAAATGACTTTGTATTAGGAGATTTGCCCACATATAGGCTAATGGATGTGTTCTGAGCATGTTTAAAGTAGGCTAGTCTAAGCTTGATGTTTGGCATGTTAGGTGTATCCAATACATTTTTGACTTAAAATATTTTCAGTTATGGGTGAGTATGTAGGGAACCTCATGGTCAGTGGAGGATCATCTGTATTTTTCATATAAAAAACTACCTAATAAATAAAGAGAATTAGTTTTATAGCTGATCCATAGAATTTTTAAATGAAGTGATCAAGTTAAATTAAAAGATCAAGATAAGAATTTTCTGGAGACTCTTTCCCAACTCTAAAACATCATTTAATTCTATGGGATGGAATATTACTATTTGCCTAGTTTTTGTTCCTTATAATTTTACTACCATACCGAAGAGTCCTAAATATCTCCATAGTACATGAAAGGAAAATAAATCATTAAGTTTTAATCTTAGGTTTACTCTCCAATTCCCAGGCTGGGCCTCAACTTCCTTTCTAGGCCCTATGTATCAATTTCAGATTTTACCTTAACCACACATCTTGAGACATTTTTAGTAGCCAAAAAAAAAAAAAAAAAAGTAGAACACAACTGATATTTTTTGAAATTTTTATGAGTAATAATGTGTTGTAAATTAGACATTGGCATAATTTTAAATATATTAGAATAGTTTAATTTTTGGTTCATTTTCTTGATGTTCTAATTCTTATTCTAGTATTTAACAATATAATCAGTTGATTTTATTAAATCCTGGTATGATTAAGTAGGATTTGCCAACATAATGTATTGTTTTCCTTTAAACCTAAATAGCATTCTGCATTCTGCAGAGATTACTATGGCCTATCCGTGCTATTATTTGTTCCAAACAAACAAAAATAATTTGTAGCGGGAGATCTTTATAAATATATATTTTTAAATATTCTGGGAGTTCCTTTTAATAGTTAAGTATGCGATTCTATTTTTTTTTTTTTTGGTATGCTCTAAGACTTTAACGAATGCATTTTATTTCTCTCACTTATTTAATTGCTTCACAATAAGACCAGAGTGGTTTTAAATGTTTTACTTATATCCGTGGCTTTTGTCGTTAGGTAGCTGCCATTTTATATTGTTTCTTTTAATTAACAGGTGTATAGGTAGATGCTTTTGAGAAATTAACAATAAGAGCCCACCATCCCCAAGGGGAATAATCTTTACCCTAAAGGTTGACTTTGGATTTATAATTTTATTATACACATGTAATGAGAACAGAAGAGATTACCTATGTTTTGAAGAATATGACGATTCCTATAAATAAAATAACTTTCTAGAGGAATAACTTGTTTTAATATAAGTGTTCCCAGAACTAATAAACATGTTGTTTATCTCTAGTTATTTGAAAATACTAATCAATGCTATGTATGTTTTTTCTAATTTAGGAATTTGCATTTGGTTCTGTGTTTACTTCTCCATGCATTAACTATGTAAACTGAACCACTTCCTGAAATGTATAATATCTAAATCACAGCTGACTGTGTTTATCCAATGCCAAAATGCTCAGAAGAAAAATGAACAATTCAGCCCCTTGTCTTGGATGTGGCTTTCCTGTGTAATCTCAGATATCTGAACACTGAAAACACTAAGTGGCTTTTTTTTTTCATTATTTCTGCAAATGTTTAGCATCCCAGTGCTGTTTCATATGTCATTTTGTTTGACAAATATGCTCAGTTACAAGTCTAAGACAGTGTTTGATGGAGACATTCACTGTTTTAGATAGACGATGTGGATAACTGAAGTAAAAGAATATTTGTGAAGTTTGCTATAATGAAATATTTTATTTTTGTAGTTCCGGTATTGTTAGCACTAATTACAGCACAGAATGAAATAATCATTGGCGGTGTAAAGTAGGTTGAACTGGCCAGAGCTAGAGAATAATGAAAACACACACCTGATTACTTAAGGGACATTTTATTAGTCATGTGTATAGTCTTAGTTTTTCCCAAATGATGTCTTCTGGATTATGTTGTAATATTAACACTCAAGCGATGGAGAATAAAAAGTGCTGGAAGATGGGCTATTTTTGTTCAATAAAGGTTTGTTACTAAGACTGCAATGTATATTATCCTATATAAGCTTGTTGAAAGAAACAGATATCAACATTAAAAATAGTACTTGCTCTGTGTGTCTCAGGATCTAAGAACTTCTAAAAAAAATGTCATCCTTGAAGATTCATCCAATATCTTCTTGCCAGTATCCCTAAAATCTTTTATTTTATTTACAATGTGCTTTGTTTAATTAAATATACTTTCCTGATGGCAAGGTTTCCTTTTTCTCAATTTAAATTTGTATTTTTAATGGTTGAATAATTAGTGTGTATATTTAAATGGTACAATGTGTGTACACACACACACACGCATGTGTGCGTTTTGTGGAATGATTGTATCAGGCAAATTATTATATCCAGCACTTCAAAACTTAATCTCAAGTGCATGAAACCAGCTGCCTCATGGAAGATGCTCAAATATTTATTGAACAAATTAATTTAGGACCTGAAGTAACAAGAAGGTGAGCACAGGAAGCTGCAAGGGAGCATATTATGTTGTGGCATGATAAGATGCAATCTTTTAGAAAAAGAAAATAGATACTATGCTTCGTTTGCACTTTTGTTTTGATTTGTCCTTAGACTGCCTTTACTTTGCCTTTTTTCTTTGAATGCTTCATCTGTGGGCCTGTGGCTATGACTTTAAACAGAGGTTATAGGACACCCCTCGGAGAATAATGAAATGCAGACCAATGTAATAGACATACTTCATGTGGGCTTCATAAGTCTTTAATTTGCATCCCACTTTAACACACAGAGACTTGTACAAGCCCCTTAAATTCTTCTAGTCCTTTTTTCCTAAACTCTCTCGAGTCTTAAGCAATTGGCCTGAAATCAGAGATTTCCTTTTTTTTTTTTTTTTTGTGGTGACCTAGCCCTTTAGAACAAAACAAACAAAACGACAACAACAACAAAACCCATGTTGGGCTGCTGAGGAGGTTAATGAACACCCAGAGGATGAGTGGGTGTTCCCTAATCTTCTAATAAAGTATTTATTCTTTGATATCATTTATGTGTTGGGCTTATGTAAGCTGAATAAACGTATCATGCAGAAAAGGAATCCAAGTTTAAACTGATTTGAAAATCATAGAACAAACTGTTCTCTGCAAACTCTTCTTCCCATTTGTTCATTCAGTAAGCCAGTCAGCCATCTGATAAATATTCTTTGAGACTGTGAAACACGCCCGCCATTCTACTCGTTGTTGAAGATAGGAATGTAAGCAAAAATAGTAATAGTGAATGAATACTCATACATTTCCTATGTAACATTTACTGTTTACTTCATTTTAAAAGTTATTCATTAAATGTCCTCAAGTTTCTTTGAAATAGATATTACAGTTATATTAATATCACAGATAAAAAAAACTGAGGTAGAAAAATATTAATGAAATTACAATGATCACATACCTAGTATGAGGAAGAGGTGAGATATGTCCCTGGAAATAAGTTGCTGGAATCCATGTGCTCACCTCCTGTGCCATACACATTTCCTGTGAAATCTGAGGCCCTGCCCTAATGAAACTTGGAGTTTAGAGAAAGAGACAGCCATGGATGAAGGCAGCACAAAGAACTCTGCATGACAGGTTCAAGGAAAAACATGGGGTCTCTTTACAGTACACTCCAGGGTAGGGGGATATCTCACTATACTTTGTCTTTGTAAA